GTGTTTTATGTACCCGCTTCTCAGAACTGGAAAGCACAAAACAGTGAACTAACCTAATTCTTTCATTTCCTAGATAAATGAAGTGAAGCTCCCTGAGGTGAAGCGGGTAAAGTAAGCAGGACCTAAACTAGGAAACAGGTCTCAAACTATGCTGTCTGCAATGAGGGGTGTTGTTGGCTGGAATACTCTACCACTTCATTGTGAGGACCAATTAATTTTGCTTATCCAATAGTCAAATATATGTAGCTTTTTTTGCCCTTTTGAATTTTATTTTACCTGTTCATTGTTAACCTTTTTTATTATAAAAAGTTTAAATATATGTAAGATAGAGATCAGGGTATAATGAACCCCTATATACTCATCACCTTGACTTAACATTCTTTCTTTTTTTTTTTTTTGCCATATTAGTTTCATCTGGATCTTTTGCTGAAGCATTTTAAAGTAAATCACAAACATAACATGTGACCCATAACTACTGGAGCATGCATCACTAATGTTTTACGTTTAATGTTTTATAACATAAACACAATATCATTATCACATCTGACAAAATTAACAGTATCAAAATAACTCTTCATGATCAGTATCTTTTCATATTCATATTTCCTCAAATGTCTTGAAAATGTCTTTTTTTACCCTTGGTTTGTTGCTATACTTTTGAAATCTTTTGTAGCTTTGTCTCTTTGTGCTTACATGGTTTTCCATATATTTAGCATTATGGACTTAGAGGTAGTGTCTTCAAAGTCTAGAGTTAGCAAGGCATTTTATTCTCCAGTTCTACAATGCCTAAATTTCCAAGATGGTTGAGAGAAAGAGAGCTTGTAGAGGGAATGTTGACCTATATGGAATAATGGACTTTTACAGCTTAAATAACCTTAATAGAGATCATCTTTTATTTTATAATAGTTTAGTCAACACTACTAATGAAAATGTTAATATCCAGCATATATTAAGATGACATATTGTTATTTATATTTAAAAATTGTTATGGCAATGTCCCTTGTTTAATGATTATTTTAAAATGTGAATACTGAGGCAGCTGCCTTCGCCTGTGCCAATCTTTTGATCCACCCCTCTCAGTGTCAGCTGTAGCTGCCAAATGTATGACTGCAGCTGTCTTTGCTGGGTACTTCTGTAGGCCCCAAGGACATAAGAACTTTGGCAGCCAAATCCCTGCAAAGAATCCCATTTCCCATATCTCAAGGCTTCTATTTCCTGAATTTCAGGATAATGATTATACAATGTTGAATTTTGGACAAAATGTCCATGCATCCTCTAAATTCTACCTTTCTGCCTTTAAACAATATCCCTGCTTCTCCCCCTCATCACCACAGTATTCCTATCATCCATTTCCTCCCACTTTTATAATTCTACAGCTTCCAGATTCTAACCCTATCATTATTCATTCAGATTTAGAAATAAAGCCCAAAGTTTTACAAGCCTTGTCACTAACCATGAAATAATCAATTTAATCCCCAAATGCTAAGGTAGATGTTACCCTTTTACTATCTCATTCTCAAATAGATAACTTCATCCAGATCAGGTTGTTAAGGCTAAAATATGAAGAGATTTGGGGTTTTGCAAAAATAACGTGATCTTTGTTTTATAAGAAAGAAAAATACATATATGTATGAAGTAAAAGGAAAAGATATCCTCAGCTCCATGCCAATCTCATTCTCAAAAGTTTGCCCCATTTTGGTGTTTATGCTACCGGCATTTTTTTTTTTTTTTTGTGGTACGCGGGCCTCTCACTGTTGTGGCCTCTCCCGTTGCAGAGCACAGGCTCCGGACGTGCAGGCTCAGCGGCCATGGCTCACGGGCCCAGCCGCTCCGCAGCATGTGGGATCTTCCCGAACCGGGTCACGAACCCGTGCTCCCTGCATCGGCAGGCAGACTCTCAACCACTGCACCACCAGGGAAGCCCCTACCGGCATTTTTTTAAATGAAGCTGTAAGTATATACATGTATTAATTTTTTCCTGTAGAAATAAAACCCTAAATATTTTGCAAATTCATTTTTTCACTTAACAATAGTGGCTATGTTTCCGTGTCAGTATATTAGATCTTTGGTCTTTTAATAGCAGCTTAAAATTCAGTATCATCAATCAATTTTAACTTTATAAACAATGCTATAATGAACACCTTTCTAATACTGTATTTCATCAATTCTAGACTATACTTATTTTCACATTTTAATATCTCCAAAATTGGAATGCATCTTTCAGTTAGTGTTATATTTGGTGAATAAGATATAATCTTGAACACCTATGTAAGTATTTCTGCATGACATTTTCTTAGAAGTAAAATTAATGGAAAACAGGTATAAACAATTTTATTTTGATAGATACCACTAAATTATCTTTCAAAATGTCTTTGCATACCTACAAAATATGACAGTATTCTTATGAAGTATCAAATATTTTACAACCTAAAGAGTAAAATATGGTTTTTCATTGTTTATTGACAATTATATAATTATGAGTGAGACTGAACATCACATTTCTTCTGCTAAGAATTTCTTTATCATATCCTTTGTCCATTTTTTCCCATTAGGTTGTTTATTCTTATTGAATTATGGAAGTGTTTTTTATGTTATAGTTTCTTTGTGCATGTTTGTGTGTGTGTATGAGTATTTTTCTCCTAATTTTGGGGTTTTTTTTTTAAACTTTTTTTAGTGTATTTTGCTATACAACACCTCAGAAACTGCTCTCATTGCCATCAGTATGCTTCATGTTCCAGTGGATACGTTCATCATCAACTTACCTGATCTACGGGCTACATTCAGCTCAACTATTCCTTCCCTATTAAAACATTTTCTTCTCTTGGCCTTTATGACTCCCTTCCAAGTCCACTGCCACCACTCCAAACAATCATCATCTCTCACTGCACTACTGCAATGGCATCCTCAACAATCTGCTTCTACTCTTGTTCCCCCGAAATCCATTCTCCCTCAACAGTTAAGGTAATCTTTTACTTCCAACATCTAATTTTGAAATATTTCCCACATATAGAAAAGCTGAAATAATTTTACAGTGAGCACCATTATTCCCGTGATCTAGATGTTTCCTAGGTCCTACCATGAGTGTTTGACTATTCTTGCTGTTACATACCCTTCTATCCATCCACTCATCAATTCATGTTATTTATTGATGCATTTCAAAGTAAATTGCAGTGATCAGTACACTTCCCCCCTAAAGACTTCACTATGCATATGTTTACTTTTGTTTACATTCTTCCCTTTATAGGTAAAATTTATATACAAACAAATACACATATCTTGAGTTTGGACAAATGCATACACCAGGTTAACCTAAACTATGCTCAAGAGGTGGAACATCACCACTTCCCCAAAAAGTTTCTGCCTGCTTCTTTGCAGTCAATCCCTGCTCTCACATCCCCTAACCCCCCAGAGGCAACTTCCTGTTCTGATATTTTCTCTATCATACATTAGTTTCCTCTCTTTTAAAACTTCAAATCAGTGAAAAGGTACTGTATTGTGCTATATTTCCTAAATTTACCATTTATTGCCTCTCAGCTCCAAATTCACCCATTTTGCCTGCTCTGTGAAAACAGATATGGGCCTTTTAAATATTTCTCTTTCAACAGCTGGCACAACATCAATCTTTATCAATCAGGGCACAGGAGAGACATTGCAGGAGGAAAAAAGCCTTTTTTTCTCCCTGGTTCCAGTGTGCTCACCTGGCAGCACACACAGCTTCTTCAGCGTCCAGTTCCTGCATCTCAGGCAGTTCTTCCAGCATCAGGCTCCTGCAGCGCTTGTGGCTTCTCCATGCCCAGCTCCTGCTGTGTGCAGCAGCTTCCCTTAGCACTCACCCCCACCCCAACTTGGGTAGTTTGGCAACAGAGTGCCCCCAGTGAGACATCACCCCCTTAATAGATTTCCCTGGCACCACAGAGAACAGATTTCCAGCAAGTTCGACCAGCACAATGATTTCTCTGCCATTCATTTAGCTGGGGGACAGGGTGGGGAGGCTCTTCCCTGGGCACACTGTCTCAGCTTTAAGGATAGTAACTGCTCCTTATTTCTGCTATATCTCCATTCTTTAGAGTTTTCTTTACTTCTTAACGGCCAGCTGCTTGTTACTCCATCCTCTGTTACAGTTAACAATTCTTTATATTGAGCGTTCCCTATTAAATTGCTGTGTGGTTTCTCTCTCCTGATTGCACCCAGACTGATAAAAATATATACTTTTTGATGTTAGGCTTTTTTTCACTCAGCTTCACCTTTTTGATATTCATCCATAGTGCAGTATCAATGGTTCATTTCTTTTTATTGCTCAATAGTATTCCCTTATGTAAATGTAACACACTGTTTACCTCTTCTCCTAATGATGAACACCTGGACTGTATTCAGTTTGGGGAAACTATGAATAGAGCTATTATAAACATTCCTGTACAAGATTTTTAATACACTTTTTATTTTAGAATAAGTTTGATTTACAGAAAACTTGCAAAGATAATATCCCGTATATCCCTCATGTAGTTTCAGTTTCCTCTAATATTATCATCACACATTACCATGGTACATTTGACAAAAGAAAGAAGCCAACATTGGCCCATTACTATAAACTAAACTCCAGATTTCCAGTCTTTCCATCCATGTTTTTTCTGTTTCAGAATATAATCTAGCATACCACATTGCATTTTGTTATCATGTCTCCTTAGTCTTCCTTGGTCTGTAACAAGTTCTCAGTTTTTTCTTGTTTTTTGTAACCTGAACAGTATTGAGAAGTACTGGTCAGTTATTTCATATAGAAGTTCTCTAAATGTCTCTTAATGTTTTATCTGATGGTTTTCTCATAATTAGTCTGGAGTTATGGGTTTGGGGGAAGAAAACCACAGAGGTGAAATACACTTCTCATCACATCTTATCAGAGGGCTCGTGGTGTCATCATGGCATTACTGGTGATTTTACCTGTGATCATTTTGTTAAGATAGCATTTGCCAGGTTTCTCCATTGTAAAGCTACTATTTCCCCTTCCATACTCTAAATGATTCACTGAGTTTGGTCTGCCTTCGAGGAGAGAGATTACACTCTACCTCCCAAAAAGAGAGTATCTACATGTATTATTTGAGACTTTTCTGTAAGTAGGAGTCTATCCTCTCCATTTATTTATTTATTTATTCAATTATTTATTAATATTACTGTGGACTCATATATATTTTATACTTTGGATTATAATCCAAACTATGCTATTTTGTTACCCAATTTGTTCCAGCTCTGGCCATTGGCCCCTGTATCTTTGACATGCCTTCATCTTTTTGTTTTTTGAGCACCTCCTTACTTTCTGGCCTACAAAGTGCTCCAGGCCATCTTGTATTTTCCCTTACACAGCCTGAGAATTAGCCATTTCTCCAAGGAGCTCTGATTCCTTTTATTGGAGAATGGCATTTAGAAATCAAGATCTGGGCTCTGGGCATGTTTGCTGTTACTGAGTTGTCAGTGCTTCTGGGCCCTCTCAGCAGACAAAACTAGATAATATATGATGTATACTAACCCAAGAATTCACAAATCTGTAATCATCTTTGTGTCTATCTGTATAAGCTAAACATTAGTACATACTAATGTCTCTGACTCCAATCCAGTACCACAGAGTTTATTCTAGCCTTCCCTTCTTATTTATTTGAAACTTCCCTCCTGACAGTGAGAAACCTTGCTCCCACTATCCATCAGCCATTTACTTATTTTTTCAACCCCAAAGTACATTTAAATGTGTTTCAGAATTATTAATGTGTACTCTCAGGACAAGCCTTTTCAAGGACATATGTTTTTATTTCTCTTGGATAAATACCAAGCAGTACAATTGCTGACAGCAGGGCATGTTTATAAAACATTCCAGACCTTTTCCAAAATAGTTGTACCATTTTAAAGGCTTTTTTAAACTTAAATCAGATTTCTTCCAAGTTAAAACTCTTCAGTGGATTCCTGGTTTAGTTGGAATTAAATCCAAAATCCTTAATCTGGTCTACAAAATCCTATGTGATCTCATCCCTGACAAATTTTTTCCAAGCTCATCTCTTGCCATCTTTCCCCTTATTCACTATGTTTCAGCCACCTTGAATTGTTTTAATTATTTCCTTAGAGCTTCAAAGAACCAAGGAGTCTCCCAGCCTTTGGGTCTTCATATATACTGATCCCTCTGCCTGGAATATTTTCTTCCATAATGTCTAGTTCTAGAGTATTCTGCAGGGCTCTATATTCTTCAGTTTATATATAACCTCCTTAGAGAGGCCTTCCTTGCCCATTCAATCAAATATAGCTTTTACTTGTTACTCTGTCTTACAGCAAAATTTTCACATTTAGTAATTACATTGAGACTAATTCACCATAATTAGTACTTATATTTTTATTTTGTTTACTTATTTTCTATATTTGCCACTAGACTATAATATGCATGACAATAGGAACCATATGCATTTTGTTCACACTATATTCAGAAACTAGAACAATATCTGCACATGGTAATGCTCAATAAAAATCTGCTGAGAGAATAAATACATAAATGAAAAGAGGAGTTTTTTTAAATAGTTAAATCTGTCAGTCTTTTCCTTGATAACTTTTGTTTTGCATCTCACTAAGGAAAGCCTTGCCCGGAAGACTATAAAAATAAACTATTTTATATATTATTTATTTATATATAAGTATTATATATAACATATTTTATTTATTTAAATTTTACTCTTGTTAAAAGTTTAATATATTTAATATTAAAGTTTATATTAAGATTTAGTATTTATTCATTAAAATTTATTGTTGTTTATTCATTAAAATATTTATATATAAGTTATTTATATATTTTTTAGTACTTTTTTTCAGCTTCCCAAGAACTTTATTTATTTATTTATTTATTTATTTTTGCGATACGCGGGCCTTTCACTGTTGTGGCCTCTCCCGTTGCGGAGCACAGGCTCCGCACGCGCAGGCTCAGTGGCCATGGCTCACGGGCCAAGCTGCTCCGCGGCATATGGGATATTCCCGGACCGGAGCACGAACCCGTGTCCCCTGCATCGGCAAGCGGACTCTCACCCACCGCTCCACCCACCAGGGAAGCCCTAGAACTTTATTTTTTTAATTGAAATATAGTTGATTTGCAATGTTGTCTTAATTTCTGCTGTACAGCAAAGTGATTCAATTATACCTATATATATTCTTTTTTTATATATATTCTTTTCCATTATAGTTTATCATAGATTATTGAATATAGTTCCATGTGCTATACAGTAGGACCTTGTTGTTTATCCATTCTATATATAATAATTTGCATCTGGTAACCCCAAATTCCCAAGTACTTTTATAATTATATAAGTACTTTTATAATTATATATTCTACATTAAAATTCTAATGCACATAAAATTTATGTTTGTGTATGACAGGACATAGATTCATAGTTCTTTTCCAAAATAAACAGGAATTTTCTCAACACCATTTGTTAAATAGTCTGTCTCACTCCTGTGGTTTGAAATGTGTCCTTTTGTATACTAAATTCTCATATATATATAATGATATGTTTCTAGATGTCTGGTATTTCATTGACTTATTTATCTATCTCTACAAAAGAACCACACTGTTTTGAGTAGCATAGCTTCTTACTATGGTAGGGCCAAGCACACCATCTATCACCACCATCACAACTACTCTTATTTATTTTCAAACACTTCCTTGCAATCAAGTTGTGAAGTTCAAAAAAGGTCAAAGAACCCTAGGATTTTTCATTGAAATTTCCTTGAATATACCTAATAATTTAAGAAGAAATTAAACTTTTATTGTATTGTCTTCCTACCCAGAAATATGGTAAATGTCTCCATTTTCTCAGATTTTCTTTTATGTAATTCATTCTTAATATAGTTCCATATGACTAGATTCAGAGCATTTATATAACCTCAGAATTAGAAGAAACTTCCAAGATAGCCCCTGACTACAACATGCACCTCAGCAACATGCAATGCTTTTACACTGCTATTGTATTGCTGAGGTACTCACTCCCTCCTGAGGAAATTCATTTTATTATGAAATAGTTAATGACTTGGATAATGAGATAACAGTCTCATTGAAAGGTCAGAAAGGTCTTATAATTGTTCTGTTCCACAGTTTTCCTCCCTATACAAAACATGTTTTTAGTGCTGAATATTTTGACCAGTATCTATAACATTTTGCAAACTTGTACATTTTACAAAGCTATATCGGATAATTGGCTGCTCAGTTAATGAAAGGGATGGATGTAAGTCTTTACAAAGGAACACTTACCTCACAGACAAATATTATGCAATATTTCTGAAATCACTGTTCTGTTTTTTAATGTTCTTATCATTGTTGCTGAAACATAGTAATCCCTTGATTAATACTTGTTTAATTAATGAATTATTGAATGGATTATTTTTAAGGATTTATTTCTTCTGATAACAGGAGGCCTTAACTATATTTAAAGAAAACATTTTCTACTGCAGAGAAACAGTAAAGGAAAGACCTCCTTAATTACGGACTTTCTAATATCCTTTTCGGGGATACATTCACAAAATTTCTTTTGCCAATGGCAACAACTGCCTTGTAAAAAAAATTACATGATTTAGTTGGGTACAATGGGATATGCGTGTGTGTGTGTGTGTGTGTGTACACATGATGCAAAAAAAAAAAATTTCCTAGATGCAAAGACAGAGGGGAAAAGAAGGCCCTATATAGCAAAGTACTCTCATCTACTAGTAAAACAATCATCAGAATCAAAAGAATTGGCTAAACCAATTCCTATCAAGCTATAGGAAGCTTTGATATTCATAGTTTCATACTTTTGCTAGTGGAAATACAGATTTTATTCATTTATTCTAATCCAGTAGATGGTGCTACATGTCTGTCTATGTAAAGTACCACAAATACCTCTTTTTTTCAATCTTTTCTTTCTTTTTTAGCCAGAACTATCATCAAGGTCTACTTTATAATGAAGCTCATTATTCCTGACATCTGAGTCAAATCTCTGGGTGCAGTATTAAAGATGTTCTTAAGGAGAAAACCCCCCAGAAATAATTGTGGCCCAAATACCAACCTAACAATCTATTAACAACTATTTTCCCCCAGCTCATTCTCACTGTCAAATGACAAAATCTTTGGTGTGACACAGAACTCTGTGTCATTGCATTAAAAAACATCCAGATGCAAAATCAGAGTCCCTTTTATTCTTCTAAACGTTGTTAGTTGCTATTAATGTGAAGCAACCATAACAATGATAATAATTAACAATGAAAGTTTAAATGTAAGATTGTCATGGATAGATCAACATGTAAATTAACCACTTAGAAGATAACATATGCTAAAAAACTTAGGTATATGAAATTTTATAAACAAAGTTTGTTGAATCTGATTAAGTGAACCATACAAATTAATGTTTCATTGTGAATCGTGAAAGACTGAAAGTTTTAGAAAAGTAGGGACTCTAATTAGGTATCAGGAAAAATAATCCATATCACCCACCACCCTACAAATAGTTCATTTATGTTACTTATTTACTAGAAACACAATAATGAAAATTGACATATAATCTGAATCAGAAGTTATCAATTTTTTTGGCTTTTCATATTTTTGTAGATTTGTGATATGTTATTAGCTCACAAATTTATAATGCTTTGAAAGTGTCATTGTATATAAAATAAGGATTAGAAGAAGACATCTACTACTAATATTAAATTAGAACATTTTTACTATTTTATTAGTTTATTGTATTAAATTTTGATTAACTGTGATGTTATTTCACAGAGTCCTCTCACATACTTTGAAAATTCTTTTACTCTTTTCGTTGTATCAAAAGAAAAATGAGAGCTATAATTACTAATTTTAGATGAGTTCTATATATAATATAGGTATTAATAATCTGCTGACCAAAGGCTTAATAAAATGATTTTATTCAGTGAATTATATCACTTTAATGACTAGATTCTAATACAAATACAGGGAAGTCAGAAGTAACCTTTCAGATGACTATTTTATCATTTATGCTTTCCTTAATTCATATCTTCATTAACTCTTTCACCAGTCTTTGAATAAACACAAAGAGGCAGAGTTGCATGGATTATTCTTAGGTAGATTATGCAACATGG